GGGTGACGGCCTCCTTTCTCAAGACTTTGGATGGCAAATGTTCTCCCTTTAAGGCAACACCAGAATAAAAGCATACCCAGTGTGCTTTTACAAGTGGCTGTGCCAGTTTCTGCGCCACCCATGGCTGATGCTGCCTTGGGTTGCTCTGGAGGCTGATGTCTGAAGGAGGCCTCACTGTCTGTGCCAGTCTCGCAATGGTAGCTGCTGGCATCCAGAAGGGGGCAGTTTAGGCAGAGCATCCATCCAGCAAGCCTGGCGCTTCCCTCTGGGGGCCGCTGGGGTGCTTTCTTCCCTGCCCCTCTGGCGCAATGGGTGGTTCTGTCTTTCAGAGGGGCAGACTGGGACACGGAGATCTATGGAGAGCCTGGTGTCACCGTCCAGGATCTCCTGCTGGAGCTGTACGGCAAAGTCGGGGTGACACGCCAGTGGGCCTTGATCCGCTACGTCTCTGGGATCCTGAAGAAGAAGATGGAAGCTCTAGATGAGGTGATGGCTCCCGGCTCCCTGGGGGTGAAGCAGGGCTCCTTCCTGGCGTTTATGGGGGCTTAGAGAAAGAGAAAGGGGCCTGGGGTCTGGTTCCCGCTGCTGAGTGGCAGAAGGAAGCCTTACTCCATCCTCCAGAGCAGTCGGGACGGTGAGAAGAGGGCAGTGCCCCTGCCCCTAAAAGGGGGTCGGACGCAAACACGGTGCCTTCTCCCTCTAGGCCTGCACAGACCTGCTGTCCCACCAGAAGCACCTAACTGTGGGGCTGCCCCCAGAGCCCCGTGAGAAAACCATCTCTGCGTGAGTCCCCCTAGATATCAGGAACACATGAGATGCTTGCTTTCTTTGTGTGTGTGTGCACGCGCGTGCCACAACTGGAGTGTCTTCTGTTGTTATGGCAAGCAGCTGGGTTGGTTTGGGGTGCCAGTGGGTATGTGTGAAAGCAGGGGCGGGGAGGAAGTGTCCCTCTGCAGGAGAAGGAGTCCCTTTGGAGGTTGTCCAAGCAGGCAGCGATGCAAAGACTCTCTGGGAGAGCGTGGCTTTTCCTGGGTGTGCTTCTCCGCCCAGAGGAGGTGCTAGGCCAGGCCAGCTGGGTAGCTGCTGTGCATCCCGGCAGGAAGCGATCCAAGAGTGGTCCTGCCCTCCGCCAGCTCCACAGCAGAACGGGAGGAACAGGAGATGGGAGCCCGTGTGCATGTCTTGTGACTGAAAGAAGTCCAAAGGTTTCGCCCTGGAAACCCCAACTTGGTGCAGAACATTTGAATCTGGCTTGTACACTTGCCTATAAAGTTCCATCCTTCTGTTCCAAAATTATTATTCTTGAGGAACTTTTGAGAAAGTTACATATGAAGAAACTGGGTAGTCAGAGGGCAAGAAGGGAGGAGTGGTAAGAGAGTAAGAAAAGGACATGGATTTTGGTCTTTGGCACTTGCAAACTGGAATGCACACTGCTCTGGTTAGGAAGTGGCCCAGCAGGATGTGTGTGTGTGTGTGTGAGAGAGAGAGGGGGGGGAGGGAGAGGGAGAGGGAGGGAGAGCGAGAGAGAAACCCCAAAGCAGTGGGTGTCACCAAGCAGAGCTCCTAAAAGCCTCGGAGGAGGAAAGCCCCCCCGTGTCCCCTACTGCTTCTTCCCCTGCAGGCCGCTGCCCTACGAAGAGCTCACCCACCTGATCGACGAAGCCAGTGAGAAGAACTTGAGTGTCTCCATCTTGACTCAGGTGAGAGCCGAAGCCGCATCCGTCCTCCGCGTACGGAGGAGGCCCAGAGGCTGGGTCTGTGACTGGCGGCTCCTGACCTCTCGTTGCAGGAGATCCTGGTTTACCTGGCCATGTACATTCGGACCCAGCCGGCCCTCTTTGCAGAGATGTTCCGGCTGCGTATTGGGCTCATCATCCAGGTGATGGCGACGGAACTGGCCCACTCCCTCTGCTGCTCAGGTCCGTGGACTTGTGGCCAGGTGGCTTCCTGGGATGCTCTGTCAGCCAGCTCTGTCCCATGCCATGCCGCCCCCTCCTTGCCCTGGCTCTGAACGCCTTCTGGCTCTGTCAGCCAGCTCTGTCCCATGCCATGCGGCCCCCTCCTTGCCCTGGGCCACCGTGGTGCTCAAGGGCTGTTTGACCAGAGGAGGCATCTTGAGCCCCTGCACTGGTTCCGGCACCCAGGATGCCACGCTGGGTGGTGATCCCATCCCACTGGCTGAGCTCTGTGCCCCTGGAGACCCAGGAACCTGCCCCTCTGGGGTCCCTGATAGGCGGTGACCTTCAAATGGCGCTGGCTGCACCCATTCGGATACGGCAGAGGAACGTCACCGGCATGCTTTCTTTTCCTCTCTAGCGGAGGAGGCAACGGAGGCGTTGATGAATCTGAGCCCTTCTGATCTGAAAAGCCTCCTGCACCACATCCTCAGCGGCAAAGAATTTGGCGTGGAGAGGAGCAGTGAGTCTTCCCTTGTTTCCTAGGAAAGGCAACGTCCTGCTCGGATGCAGAAGCCTCCTCAGAGGATGCGGAGGGTTTCTCTCCTCTCATGGGGTTCCAGCCGTCTCCTCGCTCAGAAGCAAAGCCCCGCCAGATGTGGTTTCCCAGCTGTCTCGGGGGGGGAGTCACCTTCTGTTTGATGCAATCCTTTGCTGGTGGAATTCCAGGCGCATTGCAGCATCTCCATGTGCCAGGGTGCCCAGGACCCCCTTGGCCAGGCCACTCTGAGCTGGAGTTGGCTGCAGGTGGTTTGGAAATGGGCCCCAGGCTACTCTTTGCCCTTCTTTGGCTGCGATTGGCAGGTGTCATGGGGGAATGCCATGGGGTGCAACTGGGTTGCATGGATATTTGGGGCGGGGCAGAAGATTCTGGAAGGTCAGGAGGTTGGTCTCCTGGAGCTTGAAGCAGGGAGTTGTGTGGGCCCCCCTTAAAGTTCTGACGGTCCCTCTCCCTCTCCTGCCAGTGCGTGCCACAGATTCAGCGCTCACCCCGGCCGTCTCCATCCGCGAAGTTGGTCCCGCTGGAGCCACCAAAACTGAGCGGGCCGGCATTGTCCAGCTCAAGAGCGAGATCAGACAGGTGGGGCTGGCTCTGGGTTTGGGCTGCAAGGGCTTCTCCTGTGAGAGGGGACAGGCTCTGTGGGTCACTCTTTCTCTCTCCATGAAGGGGCTCCCGACTGAAGGAACAAATGTGGGTTCCTTCTCCCCTGCCTTCGTCACACACATCTTTACAAGCTGCTAATTGAAGCCTGGGTTCCTCGGAGGCGTGGTTGGTGATGCTGGCTTTTTTGCGGGTAAAAAATGATCAGCAACCCCTGCCCCATTGTGGCAGCCAGAAGCTAGAGCGCCAGCGTCGAGGCAGGATGTGGGGCCAAGGGCAGAGTCTGTGCAAACCTCTGCCCCCGGGATACGGCTGGAATGGGTGCTTCACCTGCAGAAAACATGAGGCAGGCCCTGCAGGCATGGTCAGGGGCCCCCCTGGGGTGCCAGCGTGAACAGGGTTGGGTGATTTCTCTGGCGAAACAAGCACGTGCTGAGCCCCTGCCAACGGCGCCCGCTTGGGCTCCACCACACACACCCCTCCCTAGCGCTAGGTGTCGTGCGCCACGCGGCCACTTCGAAACAAGCACGTGCTGAGCCCCTGCCAACCTCCCTAGCGCTAGGTGTCGTGCGCCATGCAGCCACTTACCCACAGCCCCAGCCAAGGGCTCTCGGCTCTCAGACGGTGGTCCTACAGTCGACTAAACTCATTCCATGTCTTTTTCTCTCTGTCTGCTCTTCTCTTTTTCAGCAAATGGATAGACGCAGGCAGTCTATGCCTGACATTCAGGTGAAATTCCCTCCTTTCAAGCCCCCTCCCTCCCTCCTTCCCTCCCTTCTGGCCCTTCTAAGCTGCATGAGCCCACCGGCAAAGGAGCTGGGGCATCCACCAGCTTCCGTCCCCACCCTTGAGGTCTCCAGTGCCCCTGTGCTGCTTATCAAAAAGGGGAAGGGGCTTCCTTCCATCCAGCCGCCGGATGTCTGGCAGCCCTTTCCTGGAATTGAAGCTTGATCTGCAGGAGAAGGAGGTGCCAGCTGGAGTTTCAACCAGGCATTCCAAGATGCACACACCTTGCCACCCTGCAAGCTTTCAGCTTCAGGAGACAAGGATCCCCTAGGGAAGAGCAGGGCTAGCAGGCGGTCCCACCCGTTCCTGTCCTCTATTCGCCTTAGTCGAAGATGAGGCCTCAGGCCTGCTCTGGAGGCGCAGAGGGGAACGGGGGCTCCCCAGACCCCTGTTGCTTCTCCAGCCTCTCTCAGAGGAGTCTGGACTTGGTGGGGGGAGAGATACTCAGCTCGTAGCTTCCTTGCCGTGCTTGGAGAGGGGGGGGTCTTTCCAGTGACTTGTCTGTCAGGCTTCCCCATAAGGATGCCTTTGTGGGAGGTCAGAGGAGATTTCTGTGGGAGGACCCAAGGGGAGGGATTCGAACCCAGGCCTTCCCAGGTCTAGACCAAGACTCTAACCCAGCATGGCTCCTTATGGGGCAAAAAAAGGGCAAAATGCTCTTTGTGGGCGGGGGAAATGCGCTTTACACACAGTGGCACATCTCACGCACAGCACGCATGTGGTACAACCTCCATGCCTTACTTCCCTTGGCAACAGCCTGGTTAGCGGTCACTGCTCTTCCCGTTTTACAATGAGGCTCTTTGCCCGTGACTACCAGGCAAGCTGCGTGGCTAGCCACGGATCAGAGCCCAGCGCCCTGTCCAGCATTGGGACAGATCTGACTTTGGAAAGGTTTCTTTTCCAGATTGTCTGGGTGGGCTCCAAAATCCTCCCGCCTCCCCCACCCCATGCCGGCTTCTTAATCAGGATGTCCCTTAATCATCCTCACAGCTTTGCTTTTAACAGAGGATAACACACCATGGCTTCGGTTCCTCAACCAGCTCTAATCTCCACAGCCTTGGGAGGTCTGCTCCCCTCCCTCTGCTTGGCCTTTGCGGCTGCCCTGGCGTGCCCTCGCCCGCCTGTTGGGCCGGTTCTGACTGGGGGTGTCTCTTTTCTTCTAGTCTGGGGCCCTGAACTCCTTGGAGGCCGGCGTAGAACCTTCCCAGGTGAGAGGCACCTCCCTCCCGGAAAGCTCCCTGTTGCTGCCTTGCGTCTCCACCCTGTCTTCTTCCCTAGGTCCCAGGAGGGCTCAAGGTGGAATGGGGGAGGCTTCCTCCTTCGGTGGGCATTGGTGGAGAGGAGAGACCTGGGGATGGACTGTGACCTTGGCTGACCTTGCTGCAAGACCCGGAGTGGCAAAGGGTGGCACATCTTCCATTCCTCTAGATAGACAGAGAGATAAATAGAGTCTGAAATTGGGCTGAAATCTGCTCCAGTCATTACGCCATCTAAGTTGCATGGCCTCATCAGTCCTACGCCACCCACCTGCGCAAACAGGATTATAGCCCATGTTTCAGATACATGCCTCATCACAATGAACGGGTGCCAGTGCGATGTTAGGAAAGCTTGGTCGCTACAAATTTTTCTGCACCAGCAGAGCCGTTCTCAGGCTTTCAAGCAACACTTAAATCACAGCACAGATCAGGGGTGTTGGAAATCAATATTTCTGGGTGGTAAGCCCAAGGAAGCCTGTGTGAGAATATATTTATCTCTGACTGATTGTAAATAAGGGGAAAAAGAAAACCAGAAATACACACATTCAGAAACAATTTCAAATTATCCATCTATCTTTTGAGTGTGGGGGTCATGTCAAAACATAAACAAAAAGAGATTCATTGTGTTTTAATTGCAGCAAAACAGAAAGGTTTCGTGCATTTCCTTAAGCTTAAGATGAGTTTCGAATCATGGCGTTCCAGTTAAAGTTCTGCCTGCTGGGATGTTTAAAATGACTGCTTAATAAACGAAACTCAGATAAAGGTGCTCATCCAGGGCTCTGGAGAAACTTCCAAGAATTATTTTTTGATGGACTGCCCCCCCAACTCCTGATCCTGCCCCCCCCATCACAAGCGCTCTTCTCTCCCCAGCTGCACAAGCACTTCCTGGCTCCTCCAAGCAGGGGGCCCCTGCCTGGGATGCTGGAGGACCAGTCCAGGGATGCCCGGCAAGGCCAGTGGCAACGTCGGCGGCGGCTGGATGGGTCCCTCAACAGGGTGCCGGTGGGATTCTACCAGAAGATTTGGAAGATCTTGCAGAAGGTAAAGGGCCCCCCTGGGGGCCGGCAGGAGGCGGTGGCGGTTCTACCAAGGTGGTGGAGGTTGTCTGTCTCTCACACACACACACACACACCTGCAGGGCCAAAGGCTGCCTCTGCTCATCGCTCTCGCAGGCTAGGAACCTTTGGCCCTGCAAGCTCCTTGCACTTGCTCAGCCCAGGAGTCCCCTCCACTCCCAGGGAAACAGAGCTCCTGACTTAGGAGTTGGGGGGAGCGGTGGGGGGGACACACCCACTCTAACAATGACATCCCTCTAGTTATTAGAGACGAAGCAGGCGTGAGTTTTGTCCTGTGCTATCTGTAAGTTTTGTCTGAGTCGCAGGATGACACGTCACCCAAACCAAGTTTTTTGAAATATTACAATACGGATGGTTGTGCGAAAGAACAAAAAAAATTCTGCAGCCCGGCCTGGGCACCGAGGGAAGAAATGTCAGGATGTCACTTACCTAAGTTATTTCAACTGGGAAATCAGTAGCATGCCTGCTAGATTTCACGTTTCTAGTTTTCACCCTTTCTGAGTTCTTCTGGACAAACTTTCAGAATCTTTTCTGTCGCGGGCTGCAATGAAAGAAAGAGAACTTCCATTTTAATTTCACTCGTGGGCCTAGTAATTCAGAAGGAGAGCCCAGGAGAGAAAGTTCTTAAGCCTGGACATTTTCAAAATGGATCAGCAAACATTTTAGGGAGATGAAAAAATGTCAGCAGGATTGAACTGGCTCCCCTGGCTATGAGAATATCCATCCTTCCAGGCCACATGGAGCTAGCTAGCTCTTCGGTGGCCATAGCAGTTCATTGTGAGCTGCAGACCAGTTTGAAAAGGTTTGCTTTGTGATACAGATGTGTGTTCTTGCACAGCCTGAACATCTACTTTTCAGTAGCTGAAATATCTTTGATGCATGGTTAGGGGGGGGGGGTTGGCCCTGTACGCTCCTTGGTTGAATGTGCCTGCTCTCCCTTTTGACCTTCCTCCCCAGTGCCACGGACTCTCGGTCGAAGGCTTTGTTCTCCCTTCCTCCACCATCCATGAGGTAAGGACAGGGTCTCACCCACTTCCCCTTTTAGGAAGGGAGGACAGAAAGAGGGGAACAAGGAAGGGTTTCTCCCAATTTGGATAGGCTGGCACTATGTCACCCTGCTTGCGATGTGTCATGGATGTTACCAACCTTGGATGTTTTTGGAGGGAGGGGGGAACTGAGGTGATGACTCTGCAGGAGAGGCAGATCACGGCTGAAAGGGCTCAAAGCCATGGGTGGTGCAAAGAGATGCTTCAGCCTTTGGGCCGTGTGCTCTCTCCTGGAGGCTGGTGATGCTGTTTCCAGGCGTTTTGGCAGGCAGGGGCCCTTCCCTCCCTGGGAGAACATGCACTTTGTCAAGATCTGTGTGTCAGAAAACCTCTCTGTCTCTCTTGGAGGTCCTGAAGACCTGCTGCCCCAAGGAATGCAGGGCGAGGTGGACAGATAACCTGGCATGGCACAAGGCAGCTCTGCTCTCCTGGGGGCAAGGGCCTCTTTGGTGTTCCTCCTCTGGGGCAAGCTTGCCCAAACCATGTGCCCCCCACCCCCATTTCTGTGGCTTGGGCTAGAGGGCTTACTGTTACCTCAAGCAAGATGCTTTAGTTTAAATTGACTTTTAACGTGATCAGAGGAGGAGAAGGTCAAGTGGAGCAGAATCCCTCCTCTTTCTCTGCACCGGCGTAAAGGGCTGGGCTGGGCTCTTTGTTCCATCGCTGTCCCCCAACCACCCTCCTCCCCGGAAGCTTTGTGAGTCAGTGCCGCGTTTAAGCAAGGATTGCAATGTCTTCCTGTATTTTAATGTTCTTGTTACCTTAATGCTGAATTCCTCTTGTTGGGCAGAAAGGTGGGACGTGGATATCTCTTTAATGGACAGTGTTCTTCTCGTGTAACAGATGACTCCAGGAGAGATCAAGTTTGCTGTCCATGTGGAGTCTGTCCTAAACCGAGTCCCTCAGCCGGAGTACCGGCAGCTCTTTGTAGAGGCCATCCTGGTCCTGACCCTCCTGACTGACGTGGACGTGCCCACGATTGGTGGCCTCATTGCCATGGACAAGATCGTGCACATCGCAAATGACCTGTTCTATGAGGAGCATGTGCAGAATCAGACCTCCCCTCCCCTCCCCTCCCCTGCCTGCCTGTCCTAGAGGGTGTGCAATAAGCCATGCTCCCTCTGCTTAAGGGGTTGGTGGGGGGGGGGAACGGCAGGTTTCCACCAGGAGCTGGGGGTGCACAGATGTTATAGCTACAAAAGCCCCCCAAGGTATGGACTCTGTCCAGTTCGGGCCCTGATTTGTACTAAGCGGTCAGTTGCTGCAAAACCAGGTGCCTGCACCTTCCCATAGGTGAGAAGAACAAGGAGGCCACTGTGTGCCTGACAGAACGGTGCGCTTGTCAGATTGGAGACTGTTGTGTTTCTACGGCATGGGTGTTAGGTATCATCTTGTCTCCGGCAGTCACTCTTTCTCTTCTCTTGACCACAGAAAATCCTGGGTGCCGATGAGAACATGCTGGAGAAGGATCCAGCCACGGGCATTTGCACCTTACTCTACGACAGCGCTCCCAGCGGCAGGTACGGCACCATGACCTACCTCTCCAAAGCCGTGGTCACCTACGTGCAGGAGTTCCTGCCCAGCAGTGGCTGCACCATGCAGTAGCCCAGCCAGGGGTCGCTCGGCCCCGACGTCCAGGACGGCCGGGGGATTTCACGGCAGCCTTCAGCTGCCTTGGCAGCAGGTAGGCTCCGCCTCTACTCATCATCATCCTCTCCTGACAAAACCTGCCCGGGATTGGACCTTTCTTGGGAGCTGCACCCAGGAAGCAAGCTTTGTGCTCCAGCAACCACTTCCGCAGCTGTCCAAAGGGATTCTCCATGTGCTGGACAAGAGGGCCCGCCTGGCTCCGCACCGACGAGGATGCTGCATTCGCACACCCTCCTGCACTCCCAGAGGAAGATCTCTGCATCTCAAGCACTGGCTTCTGGGCAGACAGAATTGTTTGCCCCTTTCTTGGTGGCTGCTTTCTTACAGGCTGCAAAGAACATTTCTGGGCAAAGGGCTTTCCTGGGGGCTCCTGGCAGCTGCAGGGTTTTGTGGCTGGGAGGGGGTTTCTCTCCATGGGATTGTTGCTTGCCTGAGTCCAGTGACAGCAGGGCTGCTGGTGCTGTTCTTGCTGTGCGATCTTGAGGCCTTCTCCAAAGTCCCTTCTCTGTAATCTCCCTTCTAGGGACACCCAGAGTGCCTTTCCAGGTAACCTTTTTATATAAACTGTAACTCCAGGGCCACTGCAGGCAACCTTCTCCTTCTGTTTGCTCCAGGCCACAGAACAGGGGCCTGAGCTGTAGAAAACCACTAACTTTGCCTCCAGTCCTGTGTCATTCAGGAAGAGCTTCACATCCGTGGGCTTCCCAAGGCAGTGGCCTGCACAGAAGAGAAGCCACGCCACATGCACACCGTAGGTAGCCATCACTCCCGGGTTGGCAGGAGGAGCTCGACTTTCTTCTCCTTGAAGACTCCCCAGCTTGTTCTCCTGAGTCTTCCAAGACACCAAAAACAGACAAGGTGGCTGCTGCGATTGAGCTTCCAGCGGTTTTAGAGTTGCTGGGAAAAGTGGATGGGCCAGTGCCTCGACTTTCCTTCAAGGGAGGGAGTTCCTGGCTGCCCTTTTCCATTTCGTTTTTCTTTTTAAAATAAAAACAAACAGCTACCTGTATCCAAATAATGTTGATGTCTTGTCTTGTGGGAGAGAAGACAAGCTTCCTAGCTTAGCGAAAACCATCTGAACCTTTGGAAGGGGATGGAAAGCATGTGTCAAAGAGTGTGCATTTGTGTGTGTGTATGTGTGTGTGTAGAGAGAGAGAGAGAGAGGAAGAGTCCTTCTTGCCAAATATGGTGGAGGGAGGGAGCCCCATGGGCATTTATCTGATGCAGGCAGGGAAGCGTCATGCACTGCAATTTTGACACCCCAGTGGAAGACAAGTTGCAGCCCTTGGGGGCCTTTTCTTTGGAAGAGGAGAAGGCCTGGCGCCCCAGAGGCTAAACGGCAACGTGGCATCTGAGAAGGTGCTGCTGAGCCCCAAAGTGCCAGGGACCCGCTTGCTGGTGTGATTGAGCAGCTCTTTGATAGCCGCGCCTGTTTCTTTGCACTCTAGTGCACCCAACCATTTTTCCAGGAGAGCCGAGGGTCCCCACCTGGAAAAGAACAGTGGTTTGTTTGTGTTTACATGGATTTGAGGCTGGTGGTTGCAATGCACTTTCATGAAGGTTGACGACGTAGCTGCATTTTTGGAGACGACGTTCCCGGATCTTTGGGGTTTAGTTTTGTCTTCTTGTGTGTGTGATGTTGAGCTGCAGGCCTCCTTTTGGCTTGGGTGTTTGACTCATAACATTATTAAAATGCCGATACACTACCATGAAATACTGTATCTGTTTTGAAGATTTTAAAGAATAAAAGGTCTCAATTTCTTTACGTTTTCCTTCTGTTGTTTTTGGTTCACTGCTGTCATCTGGCAGGGGTTCGGATCCCTGTCTGGTGCAGTAATCCTCCTCTGTTGGCATGCAAAAGCTTGCCCCCTTCTCAGGTGTGGTGGGGCTATATATAGTTGGTATGCTTGCAGCCCAGGCTGGCTGGGGTTCATGGGAACTGGAGTGACACAGAAGTTCCCCATCCTTGTTCAACATACGCACAACAAGCTCTCTTTGTCAGACTGTGGCTCCTTGTGTTGTGAAAACGGAGCCACCCTTGCACAAGAAGGAAGGCACTGACAGCCAGCAGGAACCCTAAAGTTTGTAGGAGTACAAGAAAAGCCAGTGTGATGGTGATGGTCCTGGTGGGGTCAGAACAGCTCAGTGGGAGCTAGGCATGCCCTCTGACACAGTATACTGAGGGGGGGTGTCAGCAGTCACACACACACACCCCGCTTCTGCAGGGCCCCAGGACAGGGCTGGGGATGAGTTGCACTTGTGTCACTTTTTTTGGGTGGGGTGGGTGGGGGCTGCAGCAGCCCCACCTGAACACACCCAGCCCTGGGACTTCGCCCAGATGGCCGCTCATGCGCGTGCGTGCATCCACCGGTGTGCATGGAGCTGCATCCACGCATGTGTACACGTGTAGAAACAGAGATTAAACACAAGGTCTGGATGCACTTCCAAGTGTACGTGCACTGTCTGAGTCCGCTCTCCTTGTTTCTCTCGCCCCTTCGACGAGGCGCGGGCAAAAGCCCCTCCGGGGGCCCCCACAACGCCCTCCCCCAGTGTCATTGTTTGCTGCTCCGCCTCAGGCAGCAAAATGTCTCGGGACGTCCTCGGGAAAGGATGCAAAGGCCGGCTAGGCGTTGCCTCCGCCTGCTGGGCTGACGGCCCTCTGCACGTGCTCAGGGGCACTCTTCTTCTT